AAAAAAAAAAAAAGATCTTCAGCCTCATGCTACTCAAAGATACCCCCCCACCCCCACCCTCACCCCCATCCATTCAAGGCCCTTCCTGGAGAGAACTGGCCCAGCTGACAGTTGTCCGATCAGTCAGGGCTCTGAAGCCCCAAAGCCCTAGAAGGCCCTTCCCTAGGTTGCCCTTGAAGACAAAGCTAACCTCCAAGTCCCAAGGGATTTCATCCCACAGGAGGTGAACGGCAGGTGTCCTTGGGATTAGGGGTTCTTAGGCTCCAGGACTGTTTGCTTTCTTACAGAAACTCCTCTGAGAGCTCCTCTCTCTGGTCACGCATGGAGGGAGAGGAAGCTCAAGAATAGAAGGTCCTTGTGCAAGCACACCCAGCCAAGAGTCAGAACCCAAGCCAACAGCACAGCTCTTTCACAACCAGGTTCCCCAAGGGGGGAACACCAGAAATAAACAGATGACAGACAGACAAAAGGAAACACACACACACACACACACACAGAATACTGCTCAGCCATCCAGAGAAATACAGTCCTGACACACCCCAGCATGGCTGACCCTTAAAAACAGCAGGCTGAGAGGGGTCGGCCAGACACCAAAAGGCAAACACCCCACAATCCTGCCTCTGTGAAATATGCAAATCCACAGAAACCAAAGGTCATGTGTGGCTAAGAGCCTAGGGGGGCAGTGGGGTATGTGCTGGGCTGGGAACCATAAGCTCCACCGGTAGAACCTGTTGTCAGCACCCCTCAGAGGCAGGGGGCGGGGTGGGGGAGGGGAATGAGGCTTTCTGCTCCCATCCAGATTGACAACCTCAAAAAACCCACAGAGGCAGTTCTACTCTGTCCAGAGGGTCACTGAGGGTCAGAGGTGACTCAAAGGGAGTGAGTCTGGAGTTTGAGGGGTGGGTGGGAGCTGGGAAGGGGGACCTTTTGCTTTTGGGGTGGCAGGGAGACAGGCAGTCTGGTGGGCTTCGGGGGCAGAGAGTTTATGCTAACCGTGGTGGAATCATTTGGAAAAAGGCACCAAGAATGTGTGGAGGGAAGGCGGGTGGGGGAGGGAAGGGTAAAAAGAGGAGCTGATACCAAGGGCTCAAGTAGAAAGAAAAGGTTTTGGAAATGATGATGGCAACTTATATACAAATGTGCTTGATACAATTGATGACTGGATTGTGATAAGAGCTGTAAGAGCCCCCAATAAAATGGTTTATTAATATCAATAAAATGAAAGAATGCACAATCTGTGGGATGTGATCAATGTCACAGAATTACACATGTAGTCACTGCGGACTTGGCATATGTTGTGTTGTGTATATTTTCAACACCATTAAAATAAAGTCGAGGAGGTGCTGGGGTGCTTCCCCCCATCCCCTCCCACACACGTGTCCTCAGCCCCCTTGAGCAGTTTCCACTGAAATAAAATCATGCGCTTGCTCGACAGGATAAGAAAGATCTCTAGGCCCCCTTGCTTCCAATCATATGTGACCCTCAGATCTTCTCCAGAAATGACTTAGAGCCCACACAGCATACACATGCACACAGCACTGCAAGGAAACACACACTCACCACCCAGAGACACACAGACATGCCAGCACGAAACATAGACAAACACAGCACAAAGACACAGGAGAAGGTGCAAGCGCGCACACACACACACACACACACACACACACACACCAGCCACGCGCACAAAAGGCAAACCCCCCTTTACAGTGTATTGAGGGGGTTTCTTGGAGGCCGCGTGGATCCACACAAACACACGTGAATGCTGTGGACAAAGCCTGCCCATAAATCGAAGCTCTCCCATAATCCCCTCACCCACAATTCTGGGGAGGAATCAGGATAAGGGTTAAAATATAAGACTGAACTTGCTCTCGCGAAAGCGAGAGAAGCACGGCGGGGAGCAGGAGGGGCCTCAGGGAGAGGGCGGGGCGACCCTGGAGGGCTCAGGGCGGGGGGCCGGGGTTGGGAGAATGGATGGCGCCGGGGCTGCTCCCGGAACCTC